TGAGTATTTATTCACAGTACGCACTTCCTATTTTAGTTATGGTGATATAAATCTTAATATCATTGATACACGTTTGAGAAATATGTGAAGTTCTTCAAATGCTGATTTATAAAAACCTTGTTAATATGAAACACAATCCCGCATGTAGCTGTGGCCATCCTGTTGAGGATAGTATTCACCTTCTTTTTTTTTTTGGTGCCCGTTTCACATTGAAGCAAGAGAAATATAATCTTCAAAATTAGAAAGATCTACTATATCCTTTTTGCTACTATTGGCTGGTGACCTTTCATTTCAGCACAGCAAAACAAAGAAATAGTTGAGTCTGTACAATCTTATATAAAAAATACACAAAGATTTAGAACATTCAATTAAAATTCAGAATTCCTACTTTCAAACTCTTCACTCTAGTCCAGTTTTATATATTACTCTGTATTATATTGTATTTTTTTTTTTTTGAGACAAAGGCATATTTTGTCAAATGAGAAGCACAATTACTCCAAGGCGAATTACGAGAAGTGGTTTCGTATTTCGTTATAGAAAAAAACCTAGTAGTTTATGTAAAGTAACGACTCTCGTACGGTGTCGCATTATTATCTTTTTGATAAATTGGTGCAATTGGATGCAAACAATACTGACCATAAAATGTCAAGTTTGCGAGATCAGACAGTAACCTAACAACTAAACAATTGAAAATCTAGGGATCAATATTTAACAATTGCCAGCAATAAGCTATTTTCATAAATAAAACATGATTTAGTCGAATAATTTGCGAGTAAAGAAAAAGAGACTACCATAGATTTGTTATTAATCCTAAATGCTTGATGGGTACAGATCAGTATTCAGGAGTTACCTTTTTTGCATTAAACCACATTACAATAGAAATTGGAAAATAGGGCCTGAGTGGTTTTGTTTACAATTATTTTCCATTATGTCGGCATTGAAAATCTGCAAGTGTTTCATCATGTTGTTTGATTTACACATTACAACAAAACTAAGAATATGACGGGTGCATTTATAGTTAGCTGTTTAACGTCCAATGGCAACTATTAGATGTATTATTAGGAGGATATTTAAAATGTCATGAATATAAACAAGGACATCCTTTGTTATGCAAACATGTGTATCACGGCACAAGCGATGACCTATAGACCCTGTGTATCATATGTATATTTAGGGTGGGGTTGCTCCGAATAAAGGAGGTATATAGATACAGGAAAATAAAGAAAAAAAATATAAAATAAGAATAGAGTATAACGGGCAAAATGAAGAATAGAGGAAAATGGTCTTAGATTATTAAAGAAAAGAGGGAAATGGTCTAGATTTTTGTTGTTGTTACAAAATAAAAAAATTAAAACGCTAAATTATAATTTCACTTACAATTTTTAGATTTTTCATTTTTTCAGTTTTTAGAAATTTTTCATTTGCCGGACACGCTCTTCTTTGATGATTGTTAAAAGTCAAGTGCATTAGCAGTAAAAATAATACACAATCGTTTGTACATTGGTAGGGATTTATGTTTGGGGTTGATGAGGCACATAACAGAATATTGTTTCTATTTGAAATTTCTTGAATATTTGTTTTTTTTCGACTGATTTGATAGATGAATAAAAATATATATATAATCTAAAAACTGTTGACTAAACACCCTGCAGACTGCAGTTTACTCGCACATTCACCTTTTCCACGGCTAACAAAATTCATAATCGTATCTTTTAGTTTGTTTAAATCTATTTCAGTGTTTATTTTTCAAATTTTTTATGTAAATAGTTTTGGATCAACGTCGAGACAGAATAAATTATAATTTATTTAATGAATGATTAAAAACTGAATTATGCATCCAATCTAAATTTATAAGCCTATTATCACCTATATAAAAAATATTTAACAGAACACAATTCTAGTTTTATATTTAAAAAAAAAATAAGTACGCTAAACGAAACTATGCACGCTAAGAAACGATGTACGCTTAACCATACGATATACGCTAAACGAAACGATGTACGCTAAACGATACGGTATACGCTAAACGAAACGAAGTACGCAAAACCATACGATTTACGATAAAAGGGCGCTTATGTTATCGTTTAGAGTATGGTTTATGGTACATGGTTTCGTTCGTACATCATTCGTTCAGCGTCCGTGCAACGTTCGGTCAGCGTTTCGTTTGCATTCGTACACCGTTCGGGTAGCGTACGTACATCGTTCGGGCATCGTCCGTACATGAGTCGGGCATCGTTCGTTTTGTTAACTTTTACGTTACACGGACTGTACCTGTCGATACATTTATTTTTGGCATTGCACAAGTAACGTCTTCTTTTACTGTTCATGACGTTAAAATACGAAATCCCTGGGATGTACTTTAGTTGATTTTAGTCTCTGATGCATGATTTTTTATTATTAATTGTTTTGGCTTTTAACTAGCTGTTAGTAACTGCGAGTACTCTCAAATCGTACTTTCTTTTAATTTGACCTGTTGATACTATTTGTAATGCTTTTTTTTTTATTTAATGTTAACATGGATCTTGTCTATATTCCAACTTTGATTATTTGGTATTTAATTACTACTAATTTTCACTTCTTCGTACTATGAACATCAAAATTATTTCATTTTATCTAGCACTAATTGTATATTTTTATTGTTGATATTCACCCCATATGTACCAAGTGTTGGATTAGTTTTATTGATATTAAAGAAATTTCTTGGTATTCATAAACGGAAGAATTTATACACACAGAAGAAGAAGTATACTTAACAAGAAAATTATTTTCATTTACCTGTGTATAATATGACGCAGGTTTCTTCAAAAGTGATGATTTTCTATAAATTGTTTGAAATTTCACAGTGATATCATACTTTAACTTTGTTTAAACCTGTTTCTTTACTTTTGACTTATTTTATCCCTTATTATTTATCCCTTGTAATTTTTAAATAACTGTGTATTTGCATTCAGGAGTCATAGGTCAAATTTATTCGTTCATTGTGTGTTAATTTACGTTTTTTGATTGAGTTAAGCCTTCCAATTGATATGTTATAGTGTGTTTTTCTATGTTGTGATGTTAAACTATTGTTACAGAAAAGGCAGAAGGTTTGGTACCATTAAAACGTTTAATCCCGCTGCAAATGTTTGCACCTGTCCTAAGTCAGGAATCTGATTACAGTAGTTGTCGTCTGTTTATGTAGTTCATACGTGTTTCTCGTTTCTCGTTTTTATATAAATGAGACCGTTGGTTTTTCCGTTTGAATGGTTTTACACTAGTAAATTTTTGGTGCCCTTTATAGCTTGCTGTTCGGTGTGAGCCAATGCTCCGTGTTAAAGGCCGTACCTTGACCTATAATGGTTTACTTTTATAAATTGTAACTTGGATGGAGAGTTGTCTCATTGGCACTCATACCACATCATCCTATATCTATTAACAGCGTGAACTTGTTCTCGACCTTTACTCTACCAGTACTTAACAATTCTATAAGTGTCTGAACCATTCTCGACCAAGTCTGAACAATGTCCGACCTAGTCTGAACCATACTCGACCTAGTCTGAACCATATATGACAAAGTCATAACCAACCCAGACCTAATTTGCTATATATATATTGTATTTCATAAATTTAGGAAATATTTGTTAGTTATTTCCTTTGGCTTTAAATTTGAACAATTTGTAACCCAAAATGTATTTAATATAGCATTGAAACCAAAAGTTTACGATAAACATTACATAATCATCAACGCCATATGTTAATACGTTTTTGACGAAAACGTATATTATGATGTACAAAATATGAAAAAAGTGAATAAAAACGATATACAATTGACAAATTACAATCGAAGGTTGCTGTTCTTATAAATTAAGGAGAAGTGTTATAATTGCCAATGATAACACTATCAAACAAAGTGGGTTAAACTTCAAAAACTCCAGGTCCCTGATCTAAGATGAACTCTTTCTAAAAGGTTACCAATTTAACACTGTTATTAGATCTTTGAATATTGTTTTATCGGTATTGTTATTGGTTTTGTTATCAATAATAACTTAATATTATTGTTATACACATGTGCATATTCACGGTCCTACAATTAGTCGATATCTATATATTTACATTGCACAAGGTCGTTTTTGTGTGACTGTGACGTCTTTACACAAATTCCATTGGAGTAGAATGTGTACTGATTGATATCGTAGTCTTAGATTCATGATGCTTTTATTAGTTGTTAATTGATAGCCTTCAACTAGTTTTCAGTAACTGCGAATACGCTCAGATCTGTAACTTGTGTATTTTGTGTTTCTGTTGGAAGGTTTGGCTTTGAATCGATCTGATGAGTTTAGCCCTTTCAAACTGATTTTAAAAGTTCGTCCTTATGTAGTGCTGTTAAGCCACTGTCTCATGTTATGGAGGGTTTGGCATCCGCGAACATGTTTAATCCCGCCACAATCTGTATGTGCTTTTTCAAAGTCAGGATCCTGTTATTGAGTGGCTGTCGTTTGTTGCTGTTCAGCATATTTGTGTTTCGTTAAATATGTTGTCCAGTTCGTTTCTTGAGTCGATCTGATGAGTTAAGTCCTCTTAAACTGATTTTAAAAGTTTGTTTTTATGTTGTGTCAAGTTATGAGAGGGTTTGGCGCCCACTTACATATTCATTCCCGCAACATTCTATATTTGTCTATCCCAGTTAAGGCGCCTGTCATTCGGTGGTTGTACATAAATTAGGCCGCTCGTTTTCTCGTTTGAATAGTTTTATATTTGTCATGTCGGCGCCATTTATATCTTGCTATCCAGTATATGTCTTGCTCATTTTTTAAGGCTGTATGGTGACTTATAGCTAGTAGCGTCTACATTATTTGGTCTCTGGTCGAGAGTTATCTCATTAGCAATCCTTCCAAACCATATTATTTTTTATATTGTGGATATCAAATTTTAGCGTACTAAAATATCTAATATTTACATTCACGAATCACTTTTTTATCATGGTATTTACAATGTCTTCAAATAAAACTTGTAAAACTCACCTGTTTGTTAAAAAAACAGTGGAATAAACAAATAAAAAGACCCTGTATGAAAAGAATAATGTAAATAATGTTACAATTTCTTACATCTTTAATCAGACTTTATATACATAGAACTACTATAAAAATGAAGACAGTGCACATACAATACTTAATAGAATAAACATTTTGCTTTGGTTTAGTTCTGCTAAAATTCTTATCCATCCATAAAAGTATTTTGTAAAATAACATGATCAGACTTGTTTATGTACAAGTAACTGTTTATAATAAAAAATCGGATATGTTTTATAAGTATGTCTTCCTTTAGATTTTGCAAAATGTCAAATTTTATGATTTAAAACGATGCAAGTATTTGAATTTGAAAAGAACTAAAATTCAAATTTTTGACTGCAAAATTTTTTTGAAAGTTTTAAAAGTTAACGAATGCTAAAATATCTGTTTGTTTTCTTTATTTTGAAGTATCATTAGAACCCAAATAACATTTTTCTTTGTACCCATGTGGCCTAACGTATATGACGTTATCGGAATTAAACTGAGCGTATTAACTTTACAATGTTCACAATACTATCCAGATAACACCATTTGTTAACAAACATTTGGTGTGTACACGTAAATAGGACAAAATTGTTTAAGAAATTGGATAGACAAATAGTTGCCAATGGAAAAAAAAATCATCAATAGGGAGTTGATGTACAAAGGTTAACAGTAAATTTCCATTATCTCGCGCTGAATATATATCTGCAATTATCTACATTTTTGTATTCGAGTCATAATACGTGTCTTTATCAATTCTTGAAACGATCCTGTGTAAGAATTGCATATATACACTGTGGTGTATGATTTGCATGATCTCCGAAGCTATCTAGATTACTCAATGAATTATATGTGTTGATTCGTATTTAGTCTTCAACTTAGTGGCTTATAAACTGCTGTTGTTTTTCTGAGTTTTCCTGATCTATTATTGGGTCTGTCGATCGGTTTGTCTACGACTTTTTAGTTTAAGATGTTCTTTTTGGATCTTCTAACTTTTAAAAATTACTTTGAGACATCAATTGAAAGCTTCGCAGAAGTTAATAAAATCTTTAATTTAGATATACGAGAAAAAAAAGAAATGAAAGATTAATCTTTTACTTCCAATATAGTCGATGAAGATACTTTTGGCGTACATACTTATGAGCTTGGTATCTTTTATGAGTTTTTTGGCTTTTTTGTCAAAGGTTTAGCACACATCATTATTATTATTATACATATACTAATTTATATCATTATTTGAAGCATAATACCTGTAAAGAGTTGAAAATTGCAAATAAGTATTGAAACACAACCAAATCCTCGTTTACAGAAAATGCACCAAGTACCCATGTTATTCCAAATAACGGTAAAATGACACAGATACTTTCTATACCAATCCTAGATAAAAACAAGTACAAGTTTCATTTCCTTTTTAAAAACTGGTTGCTAATGATTATGCGTATCATAAATAACATGGTTTATTTTGTTTTATTAATTTCTCTTTTCTTGAATACAAGTTACTTTATATTTCCTTAAGACATAAACATTATTCCTTGATCAGGTAATTTTAAAATGAATTTGATTTGCGGAAATTGGTTTCCAAGTAACGAACCTCTGGCTTTTGTTAGGTTTGCATGTTTTTTTTTTTAATTTTTATTTTGGTTCATTTATATGTTTCGGATTTTAGTTTAGCGTTCATTTTGCTGAACTAGTATATATTATTGTTTAGGTGCCAGCTGAATTTTTTCGCTGCGCTGATTACCCTTAGTAGACTTGGCCAGTTTTCTGCTCTTTGGTCGGTTTGTTGTCTCTTTGACACATTCCCGGTTTTCATTCTCAGTTCTATTTAAAGTTCTGAAAATCTCAAAGTGGATTACATGCAAACTGACCCTGTTCTGTTCCTTGCTTATGAACTTTTTGATTACCTTGTTTTTTTTATTAAACCAATAGTTCCAAATGGTGAAATTGAAATAATTCCTTCGTAAATTTTACGGACGTCATCACGAGTTGGTTGATCGTTATGGAATAACCGTTTCACAGATGATATCGGATATGTTCCTTATGTCGTAATTACAATACCATTCTCTTTTCACGAATGTGACCTACCGAATTAGACTATTTACCGGATTTGTTATAACATAAGCAATACGACGGGTGTCATATGTGGAGCAGGATCTGCTTACCCTTCCTGAGCACCGGAGATCACCCCCAGCTTTTTGTTGGGTTCGTGTTGCTTAGTCTTTAGTTTTCTATGTTCTGTCGTCTGTACTATTATTTGTTTATTTGTCTTTTTATTTTTGGCCATGGCGTTGTCAGTTTGTTTTAGATCTATGAGTTTGACTGTCCCTCTGGTATCTTTCGTCCCTCTTTTGTATCTCTGGCAAATCCAGTCAGTGAACAATGTTTACCTGCCATCAGCAGATTAATTGGAGATAATTTTTTATAAAAAAGCACGATTTTATAATGTTTGAGTAAATATGCACAAATTGTACATGTTAATTTACTGCTGTAAAAATTTTAACCAATGAAATGTTACCTTGATTTCTCGTCTAATGTTTTCCTAGCTAACCCTTTAGTGGTCATCATTTTATGTACTGTTAAGACAATGATAACAAAATTGATCTAAAATAAACAATAGAGAGTGAGACATATCATTCCCTATAGAGTACTTTGATTTATTTTCGGATTGTTTGGTGGTACTCGTACACGTGTTGCTTAATCGTAAGTTTGTTTAATTTACTTCGTTGAATATACATTTTAGTTTTTTATTTGTTGTTTTGAATTGTCTTGTCTTTTTTGTGTTATTTGGTTTTGTATCATGCGCAGCTTAACATAATGGATTGTTCAACATTACAAGTAATGCGTACTCGTTAATGTCAATACATATTCAGTTAAATGATGGTTACAATTTTGAATTAAAAAATCATCTAGCATAATAAATAATATTTGACGAAGACAGTTTTAAACTCGTTATGACATTTCCGTTTGTATAAAACCAATACGCACCAAAATTACAAGTAATGCTGGTCCTATGAACGCCCATATGAGGTTTGAATCAAGAGTCAACCAACAACTGAAATGATAAAAGCATCCACTTAAGTTGTTGATGGATAACTAACATTTACCGTACATATTTAGAGCACATAATGCGCATATTCGCAATTAATGTCTATTTAATCACGCTCGAAGCCAAACTATTTGAAAATCCACAACCTTATATTATGAACCAACATTTGTATTATTCCGTAAATGTTTAAACCGTGGACATGTGACACACATATAATATTAAAATAGTTAGTTGAAAAGTACTGTCATGGTTTGCTTGGCACACTTGTAAGTATAACATGCATGTGTAGTAAAAACACTGATTCAAGGGTTTATATAATAATCTGAAAGTGAGTTAAATATAGTCTTTAGCACTAAACCGTTATATAAGATTTGTGATTGTAAAATGTAATAATCGACGAGTGTTAAAACGAAAATTTCTACTTTGGGAATATTTTTTTTTTTATAATTGTGTCGGGTTTTATTTCATATTGAGTCTACTTATTACAAATGATTAACGACAAGCGATATATCACTACAGGAAATACTTTAGCGAGGTTTGAATCCCTTAAAATGTTTAAATATGTTGTATAAACTGACTGTTAACAAATCATAGATACCAGGCTAAAATTGTGTACGCCAGACGCGCGTTTCGTCTTTAGAATACTCACCAGTGACGCTCAATTCAAAACAGTTAAAAAGGCCAAATTAAGTACGAAGTCAAAGAGCATTGAGAACCATAACTGTCAAAAAGTTTTGCAAGATAAAGCTACGATAATCTATATATTACTTGGGTAGAACATCCTTAGTTTTTCAAAACATTCAAAGTTTCGTAAACGATTAATCTATAACTATGACCATATCAATGGTAATTCTTGCAGAAGTGCTGACTAATGGACTGGTAATACCCTGGTAATGGACTAGTAGTTCATATCAAGAAGGCGCTACCATCTTAAAGTTTTAGTTTTTTGGAAAAAAAAAACCAATTAACTACTGCGGTATGATATTATTAGAAGCTTTAAATTTTCAACCGGAAACACATTGAGTCCATACAAAACTAAAGTATAGGACTGTGAATTCATTCTATATTTTGTGTTGCACTATATCAAAAGCAAAAGTGCTCAGCTGAAATTTAAAGACCTTTTCTTTGGATGGATAAACATATTTTGATACCGACTAATGGTAATGATTAGCCTTTTCAGTATGTCTGTGCCTGCCATTCCTATTGGTGCTGTTATTGTTGAAATGTTATTTTTGTGTCTTTTCATTGTCTTTATTTGTTCAGTGATATTTGCTTGTTTTGTTAATTTTCCAATTTGTTTTGTTTTTCAATTTAAAATCTAAGAGATATATCTCTTAAGACAAAACCTATCATTATTTAAGATAAACCTTTGAAAAAAAATTATTTTGCCATATCAAGAAGCGTTTAAATTGTATACACAAAACGAGTTTAAAATAAACATTCAATCGAGATCATTTCTTATTCTTGGCCTAATAGAAAATTGTAAATTATCGGTGACACATTTTAATGAAAACGTTCTTGTGTATCATCATGGAACGACAGATGAAAATAATTACTTCACCTTTGATTTAAGGTAGATAAAGTAAAACATATTTCTGTTGTTGTCTTTATATATCTTTATTATCATGCTTATTCTTTATATTTTTGTAGGTTGCATTTTGTAAATACAGCTGTTTAACAAGCCACGCCACTTTTGCGGAGAAATTTAATATTGATTTCATAGATATTTTGTTTTGTTTATCTACTGGTTCCCATCTATGATCTTTATGATTCAACTCCTAGAGACACAACTTGAGAATGTTACAAGTATCAATACACATGGGTAGCGGCCACATTTTGAGTTCTGAGGAAGACCCAAAGTGAAGGAAGGGGTAGCACAAAATGTGAGTATAAGTTTAAACCATTAGATGTTCGAGGCATATAAATGTTGAAGTTATGCCGCACAGCCTTGTTTTTTTTACCTTTGAAAAAAATAGTAGTGCATTTAAACCATTATTGGATATAATTTGTTACTAAAATTCATAGTAAAAGTGGCAGAGTTTTAGCCGTAAAAGGACTTCCTCATGGGAAATTGTATTGTCTATATTTACAGAAGTGCAACCTGTAGTCAATTTATTCATATTATTCTTGATTCGGTGCGAGTAAAAGATTCACACATTTCATGTTCATATATCTGTTGTTGAAAACCAAAATTCACTTTAAATGTTTAAGATGTCTCTTGATTTTGTTTTGAATATCTGTTGTAATCTCATTAACGTTAAGTATTCACTTACTTTAAATCTTGTTATATGAAATCAGATGTAAATATAAATCAGAAACAAAAAATAATTAAAAAGCAATTAAGAAGACAGAAAACAGTCTTCAACAATAAAAATGTGTCTACGATATCATGATATGTCAATTTCTAGATCGACCAAAGTCTATTAAGGATGTACACCTCTGAGGAGCCAAAAATTTCTAGAACTAAACTTTTTTTCTTAACTGGATTTTTGGGTGTATATGACTGTAAAAAAGTAATGGATGAAGAAAAAATCATATGGTGGTGCATTTCTTTTTTTTGCCACGGCCATTTGAAAGTACCCCATTTAAAAGTACCCCATTTTTATGATTTTACAATTTTTCATCACTTTTTACCTATTTTTGGACATATATCATGAAAAAAAATCACAGTTTCACAGTTAAACTTTTTTTCATACTTTTACTAACGATGAAGTGGACCAATCTGAATAAATTTTACTTTAAAAAAAAATATAGGTAGGTAATAATATAAGAACGTTTTATAAAATTGTGTTGCTTTTTCGTGTCAAACTGACCATGCTGTAAATTTTGTAAATTTGGGATTTTTCTCTTATTTTTAGAACAAAAAGCATATTATATTAACTTCTTTGTTATGGATGAATGACAAAATTACATATCTAAGAATTTTAAAAAGAAAAAAATGATATGAGATGTACATATTTTTGGTAAAATCATTTCTTTATACACTTCACCCATTTTCTCAACATTTTGGCTGATGACACTGACTGGATTGCTTATAAAAATTGAAAATTTCATTACTCAGAAACTACTTATTGTAAGTACACAATTTTTTCACATAGTTTAGTTTGATTATAATATTTTTTAAAGTCATTGGTGTTTCCCACTTGTATAACATGTTTTGGGAATAATTCCCAAACAAGACTGAAACATCAGAAGAATACATCCTTAACGTTGGAAACAATTAAAAAAATCAATTACATATATGCAACAAGTCTACCATCCAGATGTAACTGAAATTAATCACTGATCATAACGGGGTCTTAGTTTTGGATAATACATGTGAATAGGTGTTTGGGTTAAAGAATTTCTTTCAGATCTCAGCCATTTCCTTTTTAGAATTGATCCCTGGACTATCCATACAGAAACAATCATTGCATGAACTGCACGTAACTCTGATATAAATAAATAATTTACCATAAAACTTTGTAAAATCACATGTTAAAATTATAGCAATACTATCATGACTATACCGTACAACTGAGTTCTTCCAATTACTAATGAATATTAAAAAACATGTTTAATGATGCATTTTCATTGCTTGCAAACAGGCAAACAATAGTACACAAAACACACCATAGAAAACTAACGACGGAGCAACACGAACCCAACCAAAAACTGAGGGTGATCCAGGTGCTCCGGAAGGGTAAGCAGATCCTGTACATGTTGTACCCGTCGTGTTGCTAATGTTAAACACATCTTATAAGCTATATAATGAATACGTACAACTGCTCGTTACCATAGCCATTAAGTTTAGTCACACCGGCAGAAATTCCGACAATAATACCCGGAACAACTGAAAATAAAGATGAACATATGAGCAAGTAGACGTGATTATGGTCATCCTTTGAAATTGCGTTGAGCGAACATCCACCACCATTCAAAATGATTAATGTATCAAGATATCATCTGGTTCGTCAACTCTTGTATCAATTTTAAAGCGGTACCGGTAACGTGCTTTACAAGTTTAAAGAAGATTTTGCACTTGGATGTCGTATTCAAAGTTATTTTGCAATCATGACTATATCAACTGTAACCCCTTCTTAGTAATAGCAGTAAGTGTGTGCCAGCTGAACATAGACATGCTAGCAGCCCTAGAAAAGATATATTATCATTATGCTCTTTTGATTTTGTGCTGTTGTTTGTTGAATACCTTTTTTTTTGGTAAATCTATTGTCTTTTGTTCAAAAGTAATTCTTCTTCCGGTTAAAGAACAGGAGTCGTTGCCGTCTATTGAAAATGTGACGTTTTATCGTTTTATAGTATAGTGTTATTAACTGGCTGTTTCTGTATTCTCGAAGAGTCGACGGCCAATACAGCTGATCGAGAATCTATAACAGGGCCAATACATAAACAGCCAGTTCATAACACTTTTATTAAATGATTTTAATTCTTTTAATTAGAATAGACTAAGAAACTTACTGTGAAGAAGATACAGAATTTCATATCTCTGAACTTGTCTTTTCGCATTCACGTCCAAGGATTTTTTGTCAACATTGTCAGATGTAATTTCTGATTTCTCGTCAAAGTACTTAATATAATGCTATAACAATTCATTTTATCTAGCAAATATAAAGTAGCCGGGAAGAATAAATCAAACAGTATAACTATTCTTACTCTTGGATCGTCTGCGTTCTGATGATTGATCAACGGAAATGAAACAGTGTCAATAATCGAAAGTCGTACTCGAAAAGGCTGTGACGTATTTCCGTTTCAAGACTTCAAGACGTTACAAAACACTGAACATCATTTAAACTTTTCATTTTTTGATTTTAAGTAAAAAAATATAATACAAATGTTTTTCTTATGCATAACGATACGTCCAAAATTCAGTAAGGCGTAAGAAAATTGAAACCGGAAGTGAACGTCCCGCGTATTAGCCCATGGGCCAATACGGCTTTTTTTCCGTATTGGCCCTGTTTTTTCGGTATTGGCCCTGTCCGAAAAGCAATATAAGCTCTTGATTTATATCGACAGGGCATCGTCATCAGTATTGCACATGCTGATTTATCTGTATTAGGGCTGATTTGCTCATATTATTTAAAAATACACGAAATATACATGATATCATAGATAAGTTATCAAAATAATCAGAAATAAAAAATCACCTGTACTATATTTGGCGAGTTACCATCGCCAATATGAAATTATCGTAAAGGTAAATATATACTCACCCCAACATGTAGGCAGCAACCAATGAACAATAGATTTTGTTGGGAAAACAATCATAACCATTCTCAATATCAGAATACCCTCAGCTAGCATCAAAGCTAAGTCTGTTAAGAACATATAATGTAAAGTTACTGCGATCGCTGTACAGACTGCCTATTAAGAAGATAGATAAAAAACATTACAAACTACATATTAATTAATTTGACTTTGACGAATTAATTAATAATTAGACACATTAGAAAAATTAATTTCTGTTCATCGAATCTATAAAATGTCCTCCATAGCATATTTCTATGCAATAAAATGATGAATTTTGTTGTGCCTACCTGTTGAAGAAAAACGTATTTGCGAGTTTAGATATTGGCCATACAAGCACCTGCAGGTCTATTGTTTTTCATCAACAGTACAATCTATTAATTAGCTACTAATTATTTGATGCCATGTTTCTTAGTAAATGATTTTAAGTTTTAAACGGTCATTTTGATCTTAACATGATCTGAAAAGTCTAAACAAATACTTATTCAGTCATGTTCAGTCTTTCAGTCAATTTTCAGACTTTTCCACTGCATTTAATTCAATACTGTTCAAACAATTTTCTGGCTGTTAATTCAGCCATGTTCAGTAGCTTTTCAGACAATTCAGTATCATGTTGTTGTATACAGTTGAATAACAATTACCTACCAGTCTGAACACAAACCGAACAGAATTTAAGTCACTGTAAGCTAATTATCTGAACAGTTCTGAGTTGAAATCGATGTATAAGTCTGAAAACTGACCGACAGATTGTTTATGACTTCATAATTTATTGTTCAGTCTTTTAAGAATTATTCCGATCAAATTACCTTTTCAGATCAAAATTGATTTACTAGTGGTATAAAATAATACATGCTATAAAAAAGAGTCAGAAAAACACGACGGGTGGCACATGCGGAGCAGAATCTGCTTACCCTTCCGTAGCACCTGAGATCTCCCCCGTCATCAGTTGGGTTCGTGTTGCTCAGTCTTTAATTTTTTTATTTTGTGTTTTGTATACTATTGTTTGTTTTTTTGGTCTTTTATTTTTGGCCATGGCGTTGTTAGTTAATTTACAACTTATGAGTTTGAATTTCCCTTTGATATCTTTTGCCTCTCTTCTCTTTAAAAAATAACAAAGGACCATAAAAATCATAAGTAAAGAAAAAACTTGTAAAAAAGACGTGAAAGATAAACAACAAAACACAACACAAACAACTAACTACTGAGCAAGATGGACCCGAAGACAAAGCAGGGAGTAATTAGGTGCTCTTCAATGAAAGGATAAACTTACCCTAATTTATAAATGATTCCCGTCGAGTTTCTCATAGCGAGTGAAGTTCGATTATAAGTCGTATTCTATTCGATAAGGTCAAAATCAAGAAAAAAAAGGGCGAGATTGATTCTACGGCAATGGTAGCATATCCATGGTAATCTATAACTCAGATATTTCAAATCGCTTCGACGTCCGTATAACTTTCGAAGGGATATTTGCAACTTTACTATAATGAACCCTTTCAATTATTCTCTTGAAAAAAAGCAACGCTCAATTAAGAACATTGTAATGCAAAATGTAGAATGTATACTCCATATGTAAGCACTGCTGGATTCTTGCTTCATAGAAATAGAAAGTTACAATTGGAAAGCTGCAATATTTTTTAGTCTTAAGGTTTAGTGATCAACCGACCATCATTGACAATTTCAGGACTTCAAATCATGAAGCATAATAAAATGTACATGTAGCTGTGGTATACCTTTTCCAAATTTGGGGAAAAAAAGGAGAAATTGGTTCAACATCGTTATATGTAATATTGATATTGTTTTACTGTTTATGTTCTTACCTTATTCTCTGTTCGTGTTATACCAGCTAGGAAAAGGACATAAGACAGAATTAACGCTACACATAAGTTCATCAGTGTTTTTGATCTATCAGTTCTTACATACCTACAAAAATCATTAAGAAACAAAATAATCATTAGTCATAACATTCTGTTTTTTGCATACAAAGTACTGTTTACTCCTAAGATGGAGAGTGTTAAGACTTTGTCATGTTTGTATCATGAAAAAAATACTTTTCGGTGATCGGTGATAAGAGTCAAATGACAGCTGTAACATAGATCTCCATTTCGAGTTTGATCTTCTTATGACTTGCAAATTCCTGTCACCATGGTCACTGATCATGGCAAATATACAAGTATGACAGTGGGGCGTATTTGCCTTAATTTAACAAATATAACATAATATATTATATCAAACATTTCCAAGTCATTACTCCCGAATCAAGCCATAGAAGATATCCACATACATATGCAAATGTCACATTGAAAAGTACATATATACAGTTAACTTTGTAATTCTAGTAGAAGAGATTAGAGGCAAACAAAAGACGATCTGTTAATTCGTGCATTTTCCCATGCATTTCAAATGTCTCTTTGCTTTGGTAGACCGTTACAGTAGGTTCTTTGTTCAAGACGTCATTCACGACGATTGTCCTCGAGTAAACTGGCGTAACTCAATCATAAAATAAATTCAAATTTAATAACTTAACAATTAATCTTTCTTTCAAGTTGCTACGTTTAAAGTGCTTCAACTGTAATATAGATATTCAAAACTTACCTCCAAAGTACTAAATGAACGACAATTGTAATGAATAGAAACAGAATTGATATTCCACATCCTATTGCTGAAATGAGGCTCAATGGAAAGTTGTGAGGCGATGGCTTAAACAAGTGGTAATTAGAAGTTAATATGAGTCTGTGTATAATCTTAAATCAAATATAATTTATAATGTAATTTGTCGATGTTAGTACTTATCTCATAAAAAAAAGGACGGTGCACATCGACACGCACAGCGAATGCTTTGTTTTCATTTTCTTATCATCTACAATTTTGATGAAATCGTCGACCTTACAATTAAGTATTTGATTTCAAGAAATCGCTGTACTACTTAAAAATTATTACATGAGGGTTTTCGATATCACAAACTTGTCAAAACATTTACTAAATTTCATCATCGGTACAAGGACATTATTCTTAAATATAAATCAACGTGCAGACACCTTATACATTCAGGTATTTCACATCCAATCTTTTATGGTAATATTCTATACAAAGCACAAACATGTCGTTATTCACCTCAAAAGCTTACCAACCAGACTTATTCAGAAGGGATAAAGTTACGATACTGTTGTCAGCTCATTAAAGATGGTATTTTTATTCACTTATAGGGTCTTTTCATCGGAAATAAACACATTTATTCTGAAACCAGTTGTTGCCATGATACGGGACATGTTCTTCTCGTATATTTTATGATGGTTTGATACTAAACCCCTAACGTGAGGAATTGTGCTTGATTTTCACATAACGAAGACATAATCTTTCATCAGTTTAGTTGAGTTCTGAAACTGGCATGTCAGTAACTGCTAGTACTCTTTTGCTAATTTATGTTGATCATTGTCGTTTGCTTAATTTTGCTTTGTTTCTTCTGTTAACTATTCTAACATCGGACTCGGACTTATTTTAAACTGAGTTTTACTGTGCGTATTGCTGTGTGTTTGTTTATTGGCTAGATGTATAGGAGGAAGGTTGAGATTTCACAAAACATCTTAAACCTCGCCGCATTTTTAGCAAGTCAGGAACCTATGGTCTTTGTTAGTCTTGTTTTGTTTTCTAATTTGGTTCATTTATATGTTTCGAAGTTTAGTGTGACGACGATTTTCTCTGAACTAGTCCACATTTGTGTTTAGGGGCGAGCTGAAGTCCGCCTCCGGGTGCTGGATTTTGTCGCTGTGTTGAAGACTCATTGGTTGGATATTTACTGCTCTTTCGTCGGGTTGTTGTCTCTTTGATACATTCCCCGTTTCCATTCTCATTTTTATTATTTATTCATAAGAACATAGATATGCTTCCCAACTACATATATCGTATAAGTTAAAATTTAAAAGGTGTACAAAGGAATACGTTTTACCCCAACATGTTTAAGTTATAGTAAAACTTGGAAATGCTACTTAGCATAAATAAATTAACATACTGTCCTTCCTGGGCTCATCAGTATGGCAAAATTCGTGGTGTGATTATATTCACAGGTTGTGTAAGAATCTGTGGACTCAACTACTAGTGATCCAAAAGACGACCAAGCTCCATTTACGGTATTCCTTTAATACAGTTGATATTATTAAAAAAATGTTGTGGAATTCAATGCAACGCATATATTGTTGTTGCAAATTTCATAAACATAGAAACCGTTTTTGAGGAAACTATTATTTGTACTCTACAACATAAAAAAAATGAAAATATTTATCTCAATTTACGATTTGTAGAATGACAGGCAATTATTTTAAAAGCGATGAATATTTTTTTTATTTTAATAAGGTTAGAATTTCACGAGCTTCTCAATAAAATCCATACAACATTTCAAAAAGATGAAGACCAGCATATAATATGTACAAGTGTAATTGACAACAATCTTACAGTGTAAATTAACTAGACACAATATCCATCTAAATTGTCTTTAAAAGAGTACAAAAGTGTAAATCTTACATCACAATTTAAATTGCTACATGTATGTATCATGTTTCCTTATATTTGTTTCGTTTGTCAATACTATCTGTGCATATAAAGAATGAAAAGTAATGGTTTTGAAGTAATGCAAGGTAACGCAACTCATATTTTAAGACAAATTACATTGAAAGATATACTTACGAAGCATTGAACTCCCAAAATCCACAAACAGGTCTAGAGTGGTTTCCCTTGAAAAAATATTAAAAATAAACATAGTCCTGGACTAAACGTTACAGGAATATTCTAGTCGCATGACTCTTTATGTTAGCCGTTTGTTAATCCATGCAAAGTTTAAACATCTTAAAAAAGTTTTCAGAGAAAAGTTATTATGCATATTATCATATTGCCTCTAATATTTACAAATTTCTGCTCTTACATATATTACAATTTTTTTAACTACTTAAAAATATTTTCACCAATCCAAATATTTTCAGAACTGTACAGACGTTCAAATATTAAACGGATTTTATTAATGTATCAATAGCATATCCAACTTACTAATACATGACCAAATCTTAAATCTAAGGAATAATTCGAACACGACTCTGACTCAATCGAAACATCAGCTATGATTGAATTTACATCGTATATTCCATCAAATAGCAGCACTTCCCTGCAGAAAATATAAACAAAAGTTATCTAGTTTTTGCATAAGGCAATGACTCTTTTCCTAGATAAGACATTGGAATATGAAAAAAATGAAGAATTTACAGACATTAAGCTTAATAATATCAATAACAAAAATTGGGAAATATTTCTACCAAATAACGTCTCTTCGACAAACAGATATTACGAGGTCTTCAAAAAAAAATTATGTCTCTCAACGGTACGTCATACAACGATGCATGTAGTGAACGGTTTAAGTTAAATTGTTTTAATATTTGTTAATTTGAAAGACAAATGAAGAAAATGATAGCTAATGTGCACCGGATTAAGTCCATTAGCTATTTATGAAAAAATAATATAGTTACGGCAAATCTATGACCAGTCTTCGTTACTTACCGATTTAAAAGTAAATATTTCGGAAATAAGCTTGATATATTTCGATAGAATGTGCAACTATATCCAGTCAAATCTAAAAAAAAGATTCAAATATTAGGGTTATTTATAGTCAGACATTAAGACTTAATAAAACACATAGAAGTATTTATTATATATGGGTGTTCAAGTTTTGTCATATAATTTTAAATCGATGATCAATATAATTATATGATGTTATAACAAGGGAACATAGAAAAATGCGGTAGATACAAACATACAAATTGGTAGACTACCAACCAATATCATGGCAAAAAACCACGGAAACACAAAACAAAAATAGGTTTAACTTCTTAAGCTTAGAATAGCTCCTTCATGAACCCTTCAAGTTCAGTAATTTTGATCTGGTTTATCTCTTAAAATACACAAAATAATTATGTTCAATGGAACATTTGTATAGTTGCTATGATGTTTATTTCATTTACTAAAACTTTATGAATAGGAAAGAGAATACCATGAAGTCAAACATAATTGATAACAGCTATGCAAATGTCAATTTACTTCTTAAAGGTTTAGTTTTAATGATACTGGTTTACTATATCATACAATATATATCAAATGTTGACTTACCGATGCACATGTTCTTTTTAAGTTTCATTTCAGTCCCTGAATCGGTTATCCACGAGTCGTTTGTTTGCAACCGATCAGGAACAATGATCTCGGTAGAGCTAGTCTTTCCTACTTCCATTACTTAAATAATTGACGGAACCATTAAACATTCAGTATAAACAGTGCAGAGAAACAGAAATGGAATTGACATTTATTTTAGTGATTTCTTTAGATAAATTAAAATGTTTATACAGTCATGTGAGTTTTACTTATTTTTTTTTATTAATACTTCCGGTACGGTGTTCCATATTATAAGTTCTGCTCTATAAATTTCGATTTAGCTGGACTTAAAATCATTCTGATATAATCACTCTGAGGCCGTTACATTATGTTCGTGGACTGCATGCCAATGATGTTTTTCGATGTAATGCAAAAGTTAAAATGCTCAAATTGACTGCTAATTATTGGAAATCAATCCCCGAGTATGTAAACGCTCTGAGAATGAGCGGCCCTCTATTTTATTCAACTTAAATCTGTTTTAATTACAAGTATTGTTGATCAAATGCTGTGAGTGTGTAATGAAACAATTAGCGGAGGGTCTTGAACAATAAGCAAAACCAAAAATTCAAAACCATAAAGAGTGCTATAAAGGGCCCCATGATGACAAAATGTAAACTATTCAAAAGAGCAAATTAACGGACCGATAATGTGAAAATTTATTAACGAAAAACAATTACTAAAAACAGCAGGAACAAACTCTCTGAATAACAGGCTACTTGCTTGATTAAGACACACAAAGAACGTAGTTGACTTAACATGTTTTAGTGCCCTTACATCTTCCCTAACCTATGGAGCAGTGTGTAGGGCTTATATTAATCAATTCGATTTGTTTTTTTTCTCCTTAAGCGTACCTAGATATGTAGATCATAACAAATGCATCCCACTAAGTCGCATTAGGTTTTAAAGAAGTGACAATGGTAATCTTAGCATATGAAGCTAAAAAAAGCCTGATAAAAATCATACCAATATTTTCCTTGTTAACATGCATAGAAAATTCACCATCCATCACATTATGAAACGCACTATTGTAATCTGTTACTGCTTTTACTACTGTGGTTATACCACTTGTTCCCTAAAAAATAACAATATACTGTTTTTATTTAGGTGTTAACAAAATGCAATGTTTACTACAATTTCAACAAGATTTGTTAGACCTCATACAATCAAAGCCCCTTTCCTCATGCAATAGTATAAAAAGACTTATCTTTTCTTTTAACTGGTATTTCTAATTCTAAAAATAAAGACATATTGAAAGAATTGGTTTATTTTTGTTTCATAAGACAGAATGTCTAATACTGATACAAGTATCTAGTGTGAGAAGGGACAAACTATTCTTTGTGAAAAGACAACTCTAATTCAAGCAACAAGATCTCAAAAACTGACATTATCAAAATAAAGGATTTGTTTTATTCATGATGGATTAGTTACATTAGAAGGAAATGTTTTTCAACAGGTTATCGACACCCTATTGGAACTAACTGTGTCACTCTGCTTATTGAATTGTTCCCGTATTCTTATGAATGACCCTATTGGTATATTTCGCCTCTCTTTGAGAATTGATACAGAATCTTCTCAAAAGCATATTCCACCTTGCGCTACATAGCTGATGTCATTTAACTGAATAATTTAAAGTTCGGTTTCTATGTTGGCTGCCTCTATCCAAAATAAACTAAATATAAAGGATACGATATATAAAAGAAATCTGTCTCATATTTTGACTTATAACTCGAAATTGATAAAAATGTCGATTAAGAACATATGAAACAACAAAAGACATGATTTCAATTTTCTGTTTGCGAATTTTCGCTATCTGCAGAGTAAACATTCCAGTGTCTGCAAATAATTATGTTTCCCAGTTGATACGATATTCATAGGATTGATTTCCCTATCATAATTAACTTGATAGAGGTTTATTCCTTGAAAGGAAGCTAAGGATGCATGAACGGTTTTACTTGGTAGAGTAAAAGTCATCCTTTAAAAAGTTTTTATCGTCATCATGAATGTGTTAACAATAATGGAATATCAGTGTTATAGATGACCACGGAAATGTTCTACTGGTCGGATGCCTAATATTGTCGGATGTTTCTTGCTTGTGGTATTACAGAACAAACGACTTATTTCCAGATTTGTCTGCCTAAACAACAAGCTGGGTGCCAAATGTACAGCAGGTATTTCTTACCTTTCCAAGAGATCTAAGTTCATCCCGGCTTTTTTTTTTAATTGGTTCGTGTAGTTCAGTCTTTATTTTTAAATGGTCTGGTATTCTTAATTGTCCTCTTTTCTTTTTTATTGTGGCCATTGTTTTTGTTTTTGTTGGACTTGATTGTCAATTTTATTTCTTGTTTTCCCCCCCTATGCCGTATTTCTAACTATGACGACCGTTTTCCTTTGCGCGACGGGATTTTCGATAAAAGTTAAAGAAAAAAAACTTGTTTCCATTGTTGATCTAGCTTGGACTAGTGGATTCATTGACGATGCTATTTTAAAGTTAATTACAACGACGGACGGATAATAAATGACGGCGACGAAAGTCAATTGATGGCAATAGCTCAAATAGTCCTAATGAGGTATTCATTACATTTTCAGTAATTCATTATTTTTGCTTTCAGAATTTTTGGCTTCAAGTGAAAGTTAGGATAAGCGGTCAATATATAATGTATTAGGTGTTTAAAATAATACGACACACATAATGTTTAAATGCACACCATTGATAAAAGGGTAAGAAACCAACTTTTCCTAGAATATGAAAGTGTTACTTTCTCAGAGAAAGTGGTTACCTTATCTTTTTGTTCTTCCCATGACTGATGGTATTTTTCATTTAGTAAATCATTGCAGATCGAACCAAAATTCTAAAAATAAAATGATAAATTGAAAATATGTGAAAATACAATTGGTGTTGTTTGGTCAGGTAAATTACAACTACTAAACAGTCTTAACAAAGAATAAACAGATCTTAATTAACTGCAAGCAAATCGTCGGAACAGCACTGAATTTACCGCAGTAGATAAGTCTGAAAGATTACTGAATAACTGAAATAACGTAATAATGTATTGTTTCTTTTAGAACTGTTCAGATCACAATGGCCGTTTCAGACTTAAATTCATTTACTGGTCCTTTGTCACATTTATTTGTAAAAGCGTTCTATGTAGCCTATGTAAAAAAGAGGCGAAATATACCAAAGAGATATCAGTATGTTACCTTTTAAAAGATCGATTTTTTTTTCAAGTCTATAATACTCTTGAATGATATGACATAACAAATGTATTAATTCTCATCGAGTATCCCTCCATCCATTTGGGAAACGTCTATATGGAGTACGTAAATAAAGGCAACAGTAGTATACCGCTGTTTGAAAGTCATAAATCGATTGAGAGAAAACAAATCCGGGTTACAAACTAAAACCGAGGGAAACACTGGATATTTATATAGGATGTATTGTAAATTGCATAATTACAAAACAATTCTCTTCATAAATCATAGTATTTATTAATACAAATGGCTATTAAAGTGACACTGCAAAAAAAAGGAAAATACAAAAACCAAGACAACCGCGGTTAATATCGGGATACATGTTCAATTACTTGAAAATACTGAATAAATAGGGTAATCGATTCAAATATTATTCTGGTTATAAATATGTTAATGCATTATTTTTATTATTTCATATGTTATACAAACTATTTATTGATTTACTTACCTCTAGCTGATCAACAGAAATCTTATCTGTATGATTTGTTACATATTTCGCAATGTCTTCGAGTAAAGCTGAAGCCGTTACTAGATCTCCAGTTCGTAATTCATTTGTCGCACTTGTAACGTTTTCAAGATTATCAAGGATAGTACTCACAAGTGGAAATTCACTATCTCCAGCTAATAGTTTGTCCAACTAAAATACAATGATATCATTTCTACAATCATATGATGTAGTTAACTTGTTTTAACTTAATTTTGTCAAATTTTAAAATTTGCACATGGCGAATAGTTGGCACTAACAAACATTTGCACATCAACAAAATAAAAAATTCAATATAGGGATTTATAGGAGATTATTAAACTTATAAAACTTTATTGAAAAATATATCTTGTGTGTACTCGATTCAAATAATCAACGAAACTAGCATGATATATTGAAAATAGAAAGGTTCATCCCTTTTTTAATTTTACGAACGCCATCACGAGTTTGTTGACCGATATGGAATATCTGTTTCACAGATGACGACGGATATGTTTCAATTGTCGTAAATAAAATTCCGTCCCCTCCCCCCCCCCCCCCCCCCCCCCCCCCCCCAATGTGACCTACCGAAGTAAGACTTATTACAGGGTTGGTACTTTCATGAGCAACACGACGGGTTCCACATGTGGAGCATACTGCCTTTACCAAGTTTATATCACAGATGCCACTTTTAGTGCATTTTGGTTTTATTGTATTAGGTTTCATAGTGTTCATGTATTTTGGCCTTCAGCATCACTAAGGTATTCATTGTCAAAATGCGCAAATAATTTGTCGAAATTCGCAAATGTTGCTGTCACATTGATACCGTTAACGTTATTGTCTTCATTTTTATCTGAATAACCTTTTTCGCTGACCTTAAGAAGTCATGTTAAATATACTTTTCTACGATGTTGGCGTTTAGAGCTTCACGGAAAGTATGTAAGTTCAGAAATTATATATTGAGGTTTGTATTGATGCTAATAATTCAACTAAGTGAGTATTGCAATGTTAAGAACTCGCATTCTGATATCTTATACATATATCTGTATGCAGATTTTCCTGAAATCGAAATAATTAATATCGCATTTTTAAAAAAAATCGCAATAATAAAAAGCATGACTGTATGTTTGCCTCCACATGTCATGAAAAAAATACCGCTTGGGGCAAAGTCGTGAAAACAGCAAGTGAGAAAACCAACAATTAATTGTTATTTGAAGTACATTGATTACCTGTGTCTTGATATTCTTAATAGATTCACTTATACACTGGGTGTAGTCCGGTTCGTCCCACATTCCACCACTGCTACAATTTTTTGAAACAGTACCCGTGTATTCCCCAGTACAGGATACAGTAACCAGTGTGTTTTCTGCTGTTCTGTTCCATTTAGTATCAAATCTGTCCGTATTTTCTACACAACGATGTATTAAATCTACAATCATTAGATACATGTTAATTTAAGATAAAAAGAGTGTTCTGAATATATTAGTAATAACAATAAAACTAACGTGATAATATCCATATGATCAATGAAAATATGTGAAATTCCTCGTGACTAAAAATATTCTTCAACTACAACTGTACAATAGTTGGAACGATCTGTGTCAGTGGTCCGATTAATGAAAACCAAAAAAACTTACCATATGTGTCATTGCTTGTTATTACTACTTTTTTTCTTGGTTTTGTTTTTTTTTTACTTACAAATATATATATATATATAAAAGATTTTTTTTTTTGGAAGACAGATATTTGGTGGTCGTTATGGTGTATATGCTAGATATTGAGGTGTATGAGTATATTTAATACCAATCATTCGAAAAGTTATAAGTTTTAAATGGGAATAATTCAACGTATTTTTAAAAATGAACGGGTTATTTGTGTCCATTTTGTTATACAAGAATATATATTTTCTTATTTCAAAATACAATAATATAACATGTGCTGTGGATCAACACTATATGTAACTTACGAGGTCAGGTTAAATCAACTTATGAAATCTTACCTTATGGCTCAGCACAGTGAAAACTGTGTTTCCACAATGTGACAGCAGCGGGGTAAAAATCCCGCTGTTGGAGGAAAAAACATTTACAACCGCAAATATTAATATTTTACATTTTTTGGCTTATTTTAAACAAAGTATGTGTATGTTGTGTCATTAGCCTTGTAGAACCGCAGGGTATCACGAATGTATGGCGTAATGCATTCCCACATTTAAACATACTTATACACAAATCATTTATATCACTGCATAGTTAGTATTAACATCCTTTCAGACATCATGCATTTCGCATAATATAACACAATATCATAATCAATGTCAGGGAGGATCACACGTGCTTTTTTCCCCGGTCACCTATATGAGGTAAATTGGAGAAACAAACAGTCAAATATGCCTGATGGTGTTGAAACCAAAGGATGATACAAGCTAAGATAGTGCTTTGGCATGAAATGATTGTCACTTTATTTGAACTTAAAACAGAAGAGCTATGATTGCTTGACATTAAAGAATTCATTATAGAAAGCAATGGGGTCAAGAATTAGTGGTGTTCCTCTATAAGATAGTGAAAACACGTCAGTAGTGAGTAAAGACAATGACAACTGCTGGTGTAGTTCGAGTTGGCGCTATTCTTTCAAATTACGTAGATTCTGTAAAACATGTGGAACTTGATATCGGTGTTGTTACTGATTCAAGAGTACTTTCTGTCAGTATAGTAGTTCTATCTAATTATGTAAGAGTTGATTTAAATGTTCGAAGTTGTAACAAAATTGTGGGTGTGAACAATCAAAATGTAACAGAGATCCATCCAAAACAAGAATAAGTGTACATAGTAGCACTCGTTATTTTTCATTACATTGTATTTAAACGTTCACCTGACAATGAACATTTACGCATTTCAAATTATCATATTTCTTAGTTCAATTAACCGTGTAATCGTGTGAACAACTAAAATGTTGTGAAAACTTGATTGCACCTTTCACCGCAGTTAGTGCATACAAAATGCATTTTCAATGTATAATACAAAAGTAAACAAAAAAAAGTCCATAAAAACTGACAAAATCAAACGTTACACTATATTAACTAATGGAATTCGATAGAATGGAAAAATAACTGTCATATTCCTGACTGGGTACATTGTTTTACAGCTAGCTAAACCTCACATTTGTGTGACTTGTGTTTATAGTCCCGTTATAATGACAAAATTGGGTGAGCAACCCAACAGACATAATCGGTTAATGTGACAATAATTGGGATCCAGCAGCCAAAACTGTGTAAACATACATCATGTGCATACAACACAACAAAATACAAAATTCAAACAAACATACAAAATTATCTGACATTTATGCTTGTACCAAAACACTCTGGGGAGAATGTTTTCCTTCATGACTATAAGTCTACAATCATCCCTTTCGTTATTGATACAAAATGTAGCTTTTAATGTCTTGTTATTTTGAAATTTGATATAAATATCTAAAGACTTATCATGTAAGTTTTTTACCTGCAGGTGTAGTTAGCTTTGGCTCTGTGCCTGAAAATTCCGCTGATTCTGTAAAATATGCGGAACTGGATATAGACATTGTTGGTTCAATTTTAGTAGTTATGTCTAATTCTGAAAAAAATGGATTGAAACATTTGAAGCCGTTTCCAAATTTGGTAGAGAATTAAATATGTATTTTGTTAAGATGCTTAAATTTTTGTACACCCATATATATGTTGGACTATCCAAATACAATGTCATTGTCTGATCGTTTTTTTGATTTATCAGTTTGAATATTCTTTTTGGTATCTATCGCCTTTCTTTCACAAAGACAAATTGATGTAATATAACCAGTAAAATATATAGCAAGGCGGTGAAATTATAGCGAAATTATCCCTACCAATAAATTTTCCTTTTCAAAGTCTCTTCATTCAGCTGGTACTTGTACATTTATGTGACTACTCTTCTTGATCGTTCACCGGCGGAGCGGTAATTTTTCACGGATGTCTTCAACATTTTTTGACAACAAAAGAATGAAATATGTGTCGGACGTCAGCAGATACTGCAACAATTCTGCCCCGGAAACGCAATTGTATTCATCAAAGACTGGGTAATTCTGGGACTATAACTATGACTCCATTACATTTGGCGGAAGAATCGATAACACCAATTATCTGAGCAGGTTTCTTATGATGATAGACAACACACAATTGTAAATACCAGAATCCTTCAACGGTGAAGCTATCTCATAATCAGGTATCCATAAAATTATGACAAAAAGTGGTTAACTGAATATATAGCATGTATAGAAAGTAGAACTTTTACTTTGAAATATTTCCACTATTAATCCAAAATAAAATAAAAAAATAGTCTCAATTTAGTAGTAGGTTCCATCATAATTATTATTTCGTCCCTCAGATTGCACAAATTGTAAAACAATTTAAGAATGAAAAAAAGGTTATAATGTTGCTAAATGCACAGATGGATAAAACTCGTTCGACACTTAAGTGCAGAAAGGTCACTTGTGGTGTTTAAATTTACATATGATACTTCATGTACTTCAAAAAGCTATTTTACGCATATTTTGTTTTAATCAAAATAAATATGAGCACAGGCATATTCCCAAAAAATATATATCTCTATATAGAATACATCTTTTTTTCCTTTTTTTTATAGAATACATCTTGTAGAAAAAGATGTTTTGGGTATAGCATTAGCACATATTCATAAATGGGGTTATTGAGTCAGACGTTGCATTTTTGCAATAAAGTAAAGTAGATTAAATTTTGTTTTTGATTTTCCCTTTCAAGGGGTTAAATTGTTTTGGTTTTTTTTTGTTATTTTAATTTCACCTTTAAAACCTACTTAAGAGATACTTCAAACGGGATATAACCACTTAGGTGACTCGTCCAAACTGTATTTCCGCAAACTTCGATTTGAAAGTAGTTCTAGATATTTTATGAAATACTCAAATTTTGAGACTCAGAGAGGAATGTAATTCAATTTTTAATTTTTTCTTCTAAATAGAGAAATTTGTGTGTTTTACCCTATTATACACAAGTTACTGAATTTATGTCTTTACTGATCATTTTAATCTTAACATCATCTGAAAAGTCTGAACAAAATAAATAAATTATTCAGTCAGTTTTCCGACTACGATTTCAATCACTACGATCTGTTGAGACAATTCGCGTGCAGTCAATTCACAAGTGTTCAGTGGCTTTTCAGACCCATCAGTATTATGTTCATGTGTTCAGGCAAACAAAAACTGAGGAATAGTCTGACCATATAATTAACAGGTCTAAATTGACTGCAACCAAATTGTATGGCCAGTACTGACTTTATCATAGTGGAAAAGTCTAAAAATTGCCTGAATGACTGCAAATGTATACAAAATAAATTTGTTAGTCTCTAAAAACCTGCTCTGATCAAATAGCCGTTTAAAATTAAAATTGACTCATTAGGGATAATGACCTCTTTTCAAATACAGGACATATTTTGGGTGTTTGAAACTTTAGCTCATCTGGCCGAAAAAGTCAAGTGAGCTTTTCCCATTACTTGACATCTAGCGTCTGTGATTTTAAAACTGGTATACGGACCTCAAGCTTTCCCTCGACTTCCTTGAAATACAGCTACATATTTTGTTACTGATTTAAAAAATATGGTTATAGAACTTTTTTGATGCAAATGTTTATAAAAATATTGTGTATCGAAAACAGTAACATGTACATGTAGCACTGTACCAAATGTATTTGTTGAAATATATAAACTTTGACATATCTCTGTAGAAAAAGATATAGACTTGAACAATGAAATTCCAATAAGCTTTGACAACATTTAGATTTGAATCCAACGAGTGAAACTAATTGAAACATGAAAATTTTCCCTATCTTTTTGACAATTTACTATTATATGAATTAAGAGATTCCACTATAGACGGTCTTTATCATGACGTTTTAGGAAACACTGATAGTAAATTCATATTGAAAAGCAAATGCATAACATACCAAGGTCACAGGCACTGTCACATGGTTCACACAAGGAAGCATCATTTGGCAAAACGTCATTAGTGCCTGGCATAAAAGAAAAAAGACATATACCAATTATTGAAGTGTTATCTCACTCGGGAGTCAGATTGCGAATTAATATGTTTCCGTAATTAGTTTGGTAAAAACAAACATGGGCATGGGACTTTTTTCCGATTTCATTTCATGTTCAGTTTGTGTAATGGTGCTGAACCGTATTGATATGTTTTCTTTAAGATGTATACAGAAAAATATTTTGTTTTTAAAAGGAACATAGGTGTATGCTCTTATTGTTTTTAGTGTTATGGCGTATTTATTCTTGATATAACTTATCTGGCGTGTGCTACATCATTCTCTCAATTTAAGGTAAGTTTGTCTGATATAATTTAATAAGGCGCACACCATATATTCTTGTCACCCATTCCTTTCTACGTTAAAGTTTTCACTTTCAAACATTAATGGGGGCGGGATCAATACACCGTTATTTACATACCAGACCGTACTGGTTACTGGAACTTTGGATACACCAAACCAGGCACTTCATATCTGATAAACCGGCAATATATGCCCTCAATTTTAAAATTCATTCATACATTTTTGTATTATTCAAAATAATCAATCAAAAGGTGTTCTACAAGGATCACAAGTCCTTCGACTTTCATTTGATATCTAACTAATCAAAATATATTTGTACGCCTATGCGTAGGAACTATTTTGTTTTAAATATGTACTATTTGCCAGTATGTTTTTTTTTACCGGGCCTGAGTTGGTGGTGTTAAATCGTACATAGTCTACCCGAATTATGTGCCCGTTATTTCCTGCCAAGTTATCTAACATATATATTGACTTTCCTTGTTGTTTTCTAAATGTTTTTATTGTTTTTTGCACGCTTCAGTGTGATTGTCGGATTTAATTAGTACAGTACATGTTTGATTTTTTTGCCAGATTCATTTAATTGATATTACTCCATGGATTTGTTCTTCAATTCACAGTTGCAAAGAATTCCGCTCAAATTGGTGCCAGGGGCCGTCTTAAACTTGTAGTGAGATGAAAGTGTTTTTTGTTCCGTGTTGAAGCCCTCACTGTGACTTTGAGATGAAGAACAGCAATAAAAGCGCTGTCCCTTTGCTTTTTGTGTTTTTTGCTGTGCATTTACTGATTTTGTGTTATGGATTGATACCCGATATCCTTTTTTTTCTATCACACATATTAATCCGTTATATTAGCTCAATCTAAAAACACTTAATAACAACTTGATTTATCTCTTAGATTGATGAGGAGACTTCGAAACTTCTAAAAATAACAGCATATAAAATAATACGCCGACACTCTGAAAATTGTATGATCACAATAGAGATGTCCTTTGAATTTATTTTTAAAATCCCCTCTCCATTGTCATTGAAATGATCCAGAATAATACGTTTTCCCTAACCAGTAGTGCCATTAAGAATTTATTAATGGGAGGAATAACAGGAATCACGCAAGCTATTTCATAGTACAACGTACATGTACCACAATATTCATTAACTACCGACCCCTCCTAAAACTAGTCGTACAAAAACAAACAGTAACACATGATCTATATAGTCTACATGTTTATACTATTAAATTACTGCCCTGTACGCTATTGGCTTGTTAATATCATGTCCGAGGATAAGTCATTTTACATGTGAACTCCTCCATTTGCAGATATATCATGTGTAGCCAATACGTGTATGTCGTTTAAGCAAAACAAACTTTAAACAAGAGTATATGTCCATAATACATAATGACCGTTTCGCATTATCACATATTGATGTGCATTGAACCACATAACCTGGTCAAAATCTTGACAAATATATTTCAAATAGTTCACATAAAAAAAAGCATCTTTAATACGACTTAGTATCAAGTTGATCTGACTACGCATTTATGGTATACTACCTTAACAATAAGAGACGGACTAATGAACTGAAACATACACCAGAAAAATAATGCCCCCATCCCCCTATCATTATGGACGAGTATTACCTCATGTGCAATTAAGATATCATGAGGATGTACGTGGATTACCTGGTCTTCTTAATGTGCGAATTTTTAATGAGTCTGTGTATTGACAGAAAGTACTACACATTGGAGCTTCATCGGCTGGTGTGTTTCCTGCTTCTGACATGAACACTCTCTCATTTGGAATTATGCTGGTCTCAATATCTATAATAATAAAAGGAAAAACGTAAAATGCTTATATATTACTTTCATAAATACATTCTTATAATCGAACAGTCATTCTAAATCTCTCTCTCTCCCTCTCTCTCTTTTAGATAATTCTCCATCTTATTATCGGAGACTGTGGTAATGTTTATTCTTATGCTTTTACTGTTATAATATTTTTTTTTTATAATATGATTGAATTGTTTGTATTGGATATGTACTGACATGGCAAAAGAGTTGTTTGTCTGCATTAATTAAGCATAATTAAATTTTAATGCTACATGTAAAATCATGAAATGATGAGGTTTTTTTTTCATCTGTAATAAATATTCCTATGTATTGAGAACATGTTCAGTTCTCACATTGGGCACATACTTTATTGAATGTTACGTTTTATTGACATATGACATAATTTGAGACATGGTATAGCATATTCGATGAATACGCGATTTTTTTTTCAGTCATTCAATGTAATTTTTATATAGAACAAATCATGTTTTACATGTTAATCAAAATCAAAATTATATCATTATAATCCTAAAAAAGCTGACCGCAAATATTGGAAATATTGGAAATACAAAATAATAAATAACTACAATCAAATACTTAAATACATAAAACTAAAAAAAAAATAAAATAATCATCATGATGATAATTGTGTTTTTCTTACCTTTTTTCATTTAGCCTAAACATAATCTTCGGTCCAAAAAAAGTCATAAAATTTAGTTAAAATTCTGTCATCCATACTGTATCTCTATGAATACATTCAGGATAAAGCAATGCAATCAATGCATCATGCATAAGTCATTAATCACAATAGAATTTGAATAGAAGTAACTCTCAACATGCACCTGAAATTTGTTATAAGTATATGTTCATGCTGCATTTAAAAAGAATGCAATGTTTTGCCTATATTTCAATAAACTTACTTATTAATTTAACCTACCTATCCTACTCACCATGCATTTTTTTCTATCAATATATTGTAATTCGGCGCATATGTATATATATATATGAGTGTCACTAAATACTTGTTGTCGTAAATTGTGTGAACTATAACAGACCATTTGAGCTCTGTTTCCCTTCAAATAGGTAATTTCTTGTTTGTTTGTTTTTTTTTTTTTTAATTTTGTAAGGTTTCCGTTCACCTTTAATCATTTGGAAGTGAAATCACATACCTGACAAAAGGTGAAAGTAATATAAATCTTTCGTCACTTTTGTAAATTTCATACAAAGATATAGCCGTCTGTTACCACTAAAAGGATCACTGCTGAAGCTTGTGTCGCTTCTGAAACATATAAACATAAAAACTATACGTGTACGAATTAAATTCACAAGCCTTAGGTATTCAATTGTAGGTTAGACAAAATCCTCTTTGGCGCTCATTTCAGCAGATGAAATGAAAATGATTACTGACAAAGAAAAGTAAACCCCTTCATTTGAACTTTGGTAGATAGTTGTCTTATTGGTTATCATACCACATCTTCGCATTTTTATAAAACAAATTTAATAGAATTTTTTCTTGGTGCTTTCTGTGGGTAAAATTGATTACTTGTCTTTTTCATATTGTTTTAAAAATCATGTAAATTCACTTAAGGTGGTACCAAACACCTTGACTAAAATTAATTTGGCTCGTTTAATTTTCATCAAATTTTGACATAATATTTATTTTGACCCTTTGACAAAAATATAAAAATTTAAAAAAACTTGAACCCCACACTTTATCGGAAACAATTTCATTGGGTATATAGCAGTTTGACAAACACTAATTTTGATCTTTGAGAAGCTTAATATTTCGTTAACAATAGAACTTGATTAAAACGTTCAGCTGATTTTTACGAGTTATCTCCCTGTAGTGTTATGTACCAACTTAAAAAGATGATTTCTTCTATTACTTCTTTTTTCTAATTAAAATTCAACATAAATCTATAAATAATGAATTAAAAAAAGACAAATTGTTCCTACTCGACATGGTTACTATTATTCATTACTATTTTTTTTTTTTTTTTTTTTTTCACTTCTAAAATAGCCTTTGGTTTATTTAAATAGTGAAAATCAGCCGGGCAACAATGCTAAGATAGTTGAGATCTTACTATTCCTATTAACATTATAACTATAAGAAGACTTTTCTATGAGTTTAAGCCCTAGATTTTCGATTTTTGACTTTTGCCTATAATACTAAGAAGTAAAAGATCTTTAAAAAATACTATAAACAAAACATTCGGACGTTAACTCCTAAAATGTTTTCTACTTGAATAAGGATTTTTGAATTTAGAGTTTGCACATATTATCTTGAAAACTATTCTTGATAGACATAAATAACTATAAACAGCAAATAAGATTAGCAACATGAGGTGAACAAAATTGATTGATAACATGATCTGAATACTCATTGGAGTAATTGTTTTTTAATGACGGTTTTTGCCAATTTTCCAATTTTTTTCTTTAAAAAGGTATAATAAATTTGCAGAAACTGTAAACAGAAAATTATGAGTAAGGGAAAATGAAATGAAAAATATAAACTTCATGCCCTAGAGAAATATTTGTGGAAACTTAATTGAATTATGTGCAGCCCTTTTTAGAGAATTGTGGATTATCACTGTGACCCTGAGGACGACATCGATGAGAAGACGCAAGACGACAAAACTGATCTGTTTGGCGCATTTGTTAATTCAACCTTGTTGTACGGCGACACAATTCACCTTTTTTATTTTCTTTTTTCTTAATGTACATATTTATTGTCAACTAACTGTCATAGCGTATATCCAAAATATCTATTTTATTCAATTTCCGTGTACAATAAGTTAAATTCTTAGAATCAAAACTAAGATATTTCTTACTTGAAAACCACAAGCGTCTGTGTGTAAGAGATGTTTAAATTATTGATGCAAGTCCAATCTCTTATTGTTGTCCCAAAAGCATTTAAATTGATGACGGAATTCTGTAGCGTTGTAGTTGCGATGTTGAGAGTTGTTGATTGTTCTGAACTGCTTGGTACGTCTGTATAATTATATTCCCACGCTGCATTCGTCAGATCTTTAGGCAAAAAACAGCTGGCATCTGAAAGTTTAAATGTAGAGTTTAGACCTGATGTTCATCACGCACCTTGGACGATAATATACCAAGTGATAGATAACACAGACAATGAAGGGTGTAAATCTGAAATAATCGTAATGACTTCAGTAAATTTTGGATTATATCGATATACTCTCGAAGTATTGTTGAGACACAATAAGGTGTTCATGCCTTTGAATACCCCTCCCCCTTTTCCTCCAGTAGAAAAAAATTCAATTATATATCCCGTTAAGTTTGATTTTTGAGTGCCTATGTATCTTCTCCATCTTTTTTAATTATCTAAACAACAACATATTTTCACAGCAGTTTTCAAAATTTTTCTTAAGGACAGCCCATTTGGTCTTCACCTCACTCCGAACTACATTTTAAACAGGACCGTACATAACATCATTGTTCTCGCGCATCTTCATGAACCTAAACATCCGTTTTATATCTGTCAACCACATTTGATAAGCTCATTACAAAGTGATGATACGTTTGTTATAAAAGTCCAATAGGGTATATGCCAACCGCATTCACTTGAATAAACACTCCGGGTAAAAGGCCGAAACGTGCCCCCGCTTTACGCTTTCACGTGCTTTGTGAATGTTGTGGTTTATATATTGCCCAGTTCCACTGTTCTGATTTTGCAAAAGCAAAAAACGATTGGTCACACTTGATAAATGATACATGTCTGCAAAAAATTGAACACATTGCCGGATGGAATTCATTGAATGTTGAATCATTGTGACAGATTTGATCTCTTCCTAAAAAATTGGTCAATGTGGACTGATATATAAAGACGGATGACCATTTGTCTTGGCTCTACATGCGTGGAATGCTGTTCAGACATATTTAATGTTTTCATTATCATCTGCTTCAAGCCATCTGTTTTATCATTTTGTTAATTGTTTATACCATGTAAGGATGCAAAATTGACTACTTAATCAATGTTAGCATACATGTATTTCTGGTTAGACAATTGGCAGACTGCATATCCATAAAACGATTATTATTAGATAAAATTGAGAATGGAAATGGGGAATGTGTCAAAGAGACAACAACCCGACCATAGAGCAGACAACAGCCGAAGGCCACCAATGGGTCTTCAATGCAGCGAGAAACTCCCGCACCCGGAGGCGTCCTTCAGCTGGCCCCTAAACATATATGTATACTAGTTCAGTGATAATGGACGTCATACTAAACTCCAAATTATACACAGGAAACTAAAATTAAAAATGATACAAGACTAACAAAGGCCAGAGGCTCCTGACTTGGGACAGGCGCAAAAATGCGGCGGGGTTAAACATGTTTTGTTAGATCTCAACCCTCCCCTATACCTCTAGCCAATGTAGAAAAAATAAACGCACAACAGTACGCACAGTAAAACTCAGTATAAGAGAAGTCCGAGTCCGATGTCAGAATAGGATACAAAAGAAAATAAACAAAATGACAATAATACATAAATAACAACAGACTACTAGCAGTTACTGACATGCCAGCTCCAGACCTCAATTAAACTGATTGAAAGATTATGTCTTCATCATATGAATATCAGGCACAATCCCTCCTGTTAGGGGTTTAGTATTATACCGTCATAAAATATATGAGAAGAACATAACCCGTGTCATGCCAACAACTGGTTTTAGAATAAATGTGTTTAATTCCGATGCAAAGACCCTATAAGTGAATCAATATTAAAGCCAAAATATGCAATCTTTAATGACCTGACAACAGTATCGTAACTATATCCCTTCTTAATAAGTCTGTTTAAAGGTTTTGTTAGCTTTTGAGGTGAATACTGACATTTTTGTGCTTTGTAAAGAATATTACCATAAAAGATTGGATGTGAAATACCCGAACGTATAAGATGTCTGCATGTTGAGTTATATTTACGAATGATGTCCTTATACCGATGATAAAATTTAGTAAATGTTTTGACTAGTTTATGATATCGAAAACCCTGGTGTAATAATTTTTCAGTAATACATAAATTTCTCTCGCTAAAATCTAATACGTTGTTACACTCACGAGCGAATCGTACAAGTTGAGATATATAAACACCATAAGATGGTGACAAGGGAACGTCACTATCTAAAAATGGATAATTAACGATAGGAAATGAAAAATCATCTCTTTTATCATAAATTTTTGTATTAAGCTTTCCGTTAATGATATAGATATCAAGATCGAGGAAAAGACAGTGGTCATTGTTAGTATTAGCTTTATTTAAAGTAAGTTCAACAGGATAAATTTCTTTAGTATACATACTGAAGTCGTCATTATTGAGAGCCAATATATCATCCAAATATCTAAAAGTATTGTTAAATTTTTGTATCAGATATTGTTTCGATGTCTCTTTGCTGATTTTAGTCATAAATTGTAACTCACAACAATACAAAAACAGGTCCGCAATAAGTGGTGCACAGTTAGTCCCCATTGGAATTCCGATAACTTGACGATATACGGAATCTCCAAAGCGAACAAAAATGTTATCAAGTAAAAATTCAAGGGCAGATATAGTATCAAAGCATGTCCAATTGACATATTTCTTTTGTTTGTTGCTACTAAAAAATGACCTAAAAGAGTTTGAACATATGTATTCGCATTCCGACTTTTTAAATGCCCATTTAATTAGGTGTGTGAATTTTTTCTTAATAAGAATATGAGGCAAAGTGGTATATAGGGTAGAACTATCAAAACTTTGAACAGATTCAAAATCACCAATATATGCATGCAATTTATCAAGTACTTCCAACGAGTTTTTGACACTCCAAAAGTAATTAATTCCACTATTTTCAAAGGCCTTATTTGAACAATTAATTATCAGGTTTTTGATTGTACCAAGTGTACTAGTAAGTAGAATACACAATTTAGTAGTGGAACAATAACTTGAAGACGAAATAAATCTATATTTGTAAGGTGATTTGTGTAGCTTCGGAAGCCAGTACATAGTTGGGACTTTCAGTGTATTTGGTTCTGCTTGTAAAGAAGTAGCTAAAAGTTTATGTTTGTTACAGATATGGTTTCCTGAAAATGAAGTCAGTTGGAATGTTGGTGAATTCGTGATTTCCTTTTGCAGAACCTCAATGCAAAATTTACGTCAAACTATAATGATATTATTAGCAGCTTTATCAGCCGGGACAAAAACAAATTCCTTGGCTAGTTCTTTTAGTTTATGTTTGATACGAGAAATAGGATTTTTATGGTTGTTTTTAAGAGTAAAATGTTCTTTAAAATGTTGTATACGTATATCAACTATCTTCATTACTGAATTAAAAAAAGAGTCCAAAGATTTTTTGTCAGCTTTTTCCCGTTTTATCCATTTCAAACAGTAAGCACGAAGTGAGTCGTGGATGATATTACGACACTCATTCCAATTAATAATTGACGGGGGGCGATATTTAGGTCCTTTACTGAGGAATGATTTTAACTCTCGGTCGCGAACGATGTTAAGGTCTCCTGTTATAACATGGGAAATTGGGCCATAAGTGTATTCGGAATTACTACAATTACATGACGTAGGTGTATTTTCACTGATATTTACATGTTTACAGACTTGGCTATAATTAAACACAAATTTCCGGGTAGATTTCTTGTAAATATAACAAATAAGACGGAGTTCAGTATTATCAAAATATCCAGGAAATGTTCTTTAACAGAATGGTCGTTAAAAATACCGGCAATATTTACAAAATCAAAACCTTTATTGACATACTTTTTTTTAATAAAATGTTTTTATGATCTTCAGGGCGATCAATTTTGGGAAACAGTTTAGAATAACAATATGCCATTATAATTTGAACGATTTCATACTTAGGACTGCAATATGAAATTGTGTTGCAATCCTCTTAAATTTTTATTAATTTATTTATAGGTAAAGAACAGAGCTTGGTTAATAGATAATGTCTGCCGTTGATTTTAGAAATTAGGTCCGAAATATTTGTATGGTTGGTCCGAAATTTTCTTTGATTGCGATTTTTTCTACGCCCATGAGAACGGTTTTTACGAACAGTTTTAGAAACTATATCAAAATGTTAACAGAATCGGTTCTTGATATATTACCAATTCCCATGATATTATCATTAAGACCGAGAGGGTAGACTGTCTGTAATTTTTTAATCCAATTTAATTCAATTATTTTCCGTGATCGTACAAACTTTGAATGAGATTCACCAGTCTGCTTATTTACTACTTCTAAAGGTTGAACTGTTAAATATCTAATAGGATGATTGTGCTTTTTAAGATGATGATAAATGATACTTTTGAATTTATTGGGTCTTTTAAAACGATACAGGTGTTCTTGCGTGCGTTTAGATAAATATCGTCCATGTATGTATGAAACGCATGATTATATTTGGTTAGTATTAAAGATATATCTTATTCTATAATAAAATATATACTTAAGTTATAGCAATAATACAAACAGTTGTGCTTGCGCACAATATATTGGTTAAAGTACTATGGATTATAAGGGAAAAGAATATATTTTAAAGCAAAAGGTTATGACGAGTTTGCCAAGTTAGACTAAGAAAATGCTGAAATATTGAAATTGTCGTACTATGTAACGATTCTGAAGTCGTAGTTAAACTCTTGTTGTTGTCAATATTGTCCATGGCTATTGTTGTAAAACCACATATTTTAAATGTTGAATGTTTTATAAATAGAATATTCTATTACTGTAGATTAATGGATAACTGAATCATTCATAAACAGCAAACGTAACTGTACATTTTGTCATTTAGTACCTCCTTTCCTTGTCCTAGCATCCAGTAGAAGACCATATACATTAAGAGATGGTTTTAGTTCAGTTGAATGTAATGTTAAAGAAGAAAAGAGAAATAAACAGAAGTTCCTTTGAAATGCTTAGCATCGTATTTGCTTTAATGGAATAACTCTGAATATTTGGCCAAACGATTATCAACTAATGTTTTTACTGATTGTTGAAAAGACTTTTGCTTACATCATGTCTTTTTGAACTACCTGCATGTGCAGCTTTTTCAAGT